ATCTGCCCACTTGTGTATAGTTATTTGCTTGGCTGATGTTATTAATTTTAATTCATGTAAAGGTGCTTAATAACAATTTTGTTTGATCTACGTTCTTAATTTTGCTAGCGAGCTGCAGCTTGGTTAATGAACCGTTTGCGCAAGCATATTAGAGTTCAACATTAATGATAACTGCGAAATTTACAAGTAGCTTCGGTAAGTGTACACGTGACTCGCGTGGACAGTGCAAATATAGCATTATCTACCTTTTAACCGTGGCGACGGCATTAGATATAAATGGACGGAGTGGTATGGTCATGAGTTTAATGGTATGCATCATCATCACTTGCCTGTGGGTTGACGAGCATTCAACTGTGGAACACAAAGGCAACCAGATGCTTCGGTATTTGTGGTCGACCTGACCGTTGCGAAACTCAACTGGGTCTTTGAGAAGCATTAGACCGCCTCCAGCACACTGCATGCCTGTGCTTACCTATAATGGGACACTCCGGTAGTCCGATTAAGTCCCGGGCATATAAGGCAGCTGTAATTTGTCCCGCTTCTCTTGTCCCTGACTCTTTCCTTGGACGTTGCCTTGCGATCTTAAGAGGTTTTTGGAAATCCCACGTGCATTGTAGGTTTTGGGGCTTGCCGACAGTCTTCGTATTGCCGGTCCCGCTCACTTACCCCAACGTATTCATGCCTTGTTTATTACGCGACAGGATACCCTGTCTGGCAAGCGCCGCTTAGCGGTTCTTCCCCGGGAAGGGGCACTGTCGATAACTACGGTGTTTTTTTAGTGGTGAGTACATCTGCGTGCCTGGATTATCCTGCCTTCCTATATCTTAAGTGGGTTTTTCGGTTCCACCCTCGATCTCACTAGTAACTGGATCCCGATGTGTTCATATCCCACATCTGCATAATCAGGTGACTGGAGAACTCGAGCGTGTCCCCCTCGAACAGGGGAGGGTTTGCTCTGCCAATTTCGCTCTCCTCGATTGGGTGAATCGGAAAAGAAAATGCCGTTGGCTCTGCGTCGTAACCCTCGAACTAAATTTGGGCGTCTTCGCTCTCATCTCAGTCCTTATGAATTTCGGTTGAGTCGAATAAGCAGCGAATCCAGTGTCCAAATGATTATGGTCCTCATTATCTTTGTGAGATTTCGGCCCCGGCTGTCATTTAGACAATCACCAATAGAGGCTCCCTGAAGTTGTGCGGCGTACTTATGTGGACTTGAAGGCTTTGATACGAGCCGTTACCAACCGCAGTGCTTTCTCAAACTTTTACTTACCGTAATGGACTCTTTATGGTCCTGGAGAACTTGACGTTCACGGTTGTACCCATCAGCCGAGTTATCTAGTGATACTTGAATCAGTGGGTATGGAAAATATCAGTTTGACAGGCAAAATGGTAGGGATTAAGAGACAAAAGCCGCTTCCCATCCGTCATCTGGGCAAGTGCATATTCGCATATACTACTATTGGACACCACTTGGTCCTCTTAGTAATCTATACTACTGTGGTTTGTTGGTTCTATATGATTTATTATTTGGTAAAGAAGAGGAATAGTCGAACACCGGATGGATTTGTGTATTGTTCTGAGCTTTTGAATTCGTACAGGAGTCCATCGTCAGATTTCTATACGTTCATATGTTAACTGTTTTGTACACACGTTATAACCAGCCACTCTTTTGTTACTGTTTCCTTTTCTCTGACGATGGACTTCTGCACGAGTGCGAAAGCTCAGAAAAATACACAAACAAATCCGGCCTTCGACTATTCTCCTTCTTTACCGATGCAAATACCTGGAAAGCGAATATTCTCCTTCATTCGTGATTTATAATTTCTTCGGAGTCCTAACTCTCGCTGATGGTTAAGTCAACAAGTAATGAACTTCGTACTTGCCATGCCTAGTGTCTGAACCAATCAAATATCCGTCCATCGGGCCCATTTAATTATTTTGAAATACCATCTATCCAAAGTAAGGCGCGGTGTTAGGTTGCAGTTTGAGTGATCACGACTCCACAAAGTTTCCGGTTATTGGCTCGATATGTTACCGGTCTAATTCTCAATCATAATTGGTGTTCCCCATAAAATTGTGATGTATTAGGCGGGCGTACGATGCCCTTCTGAGGCCGCAGTTGGAATTGCCACTTCCCATTTGGTTCCACTGTGATGTTTTCCGGGCTTCAAAACGTGTTATAAACTGCTGACAAAAGCGAACAAGCGAGTTCTAGGAAGAAGTTCAGAAGTAGAAGATGCGATCACTGGAAAAAAGAAGTTTGTCTGACGCTACGAGTTCAGGCTTGAACCCATCCTCAAGGGATAATCGCACAAAAGGGTGATAAAGGCATAGGTAATACAGCGTTTATAGATCTTAGCGGCCACGCAATCAAATGCATACCAAGATTAACAGCTCCTATGATCATCGTTTGGGATCATGCGACGATGGCTTGGCAGTCAGACAAATTGATGCGATTTCATCATCCGTTTTAGATGTTGGCATGGTAACTACGTAACAACTCTTGAAGTTCTGTCTCAAGACGTACTTAATGTTCAAAGGAACTGTCTACGAGCAAATGAAGGGCGCGTTCATGGGTTCGCTAATTTACGGGCTCATAGCCAGGGTGGTCTTGCAACGGTTGGAGTCGCTGGTTTTCCGACACCACAGACTGAACTTCTGGGCTCGGTTTGTGGATGCCACCTTCGTCATAATCGAACGGAATCAGGTACTAACAATCAAGGAACGTTCAGCTTTTTAATCTTCTGAGAAAGTAATTTCTGTTCGTGGTATATATCAATATATTCAAGGTCTGTAGTCGTAGACCGTAATTGTAAGTGTATATTTGTGTTGAAACCCGTCAACCCCTGTGAAATATACAACTGCTGCTATCAGGCAGTCTTAAGTAGTAAAATTGACGTAACTTACCATACTAACAGCCTAGGTACTTGCTAAAAGGCCTTTTAACAAGCACCTAGGCTGTTAGTATGGTAAGTTACAACATCAGTCAAGGAACGTCTGAATGCTGTCATTCCGGACATTCAGTCTACGATGGAGAAGGAAGAAAACAACTAGCTGGCCTTTCTGGATGTACTCGTTTGCCACAAAGACTGCGGTGACCTGAAAACTAAAGTGTACAGGAAAGCGATCAACAATATGCGAGTGCTGAACTTCAATGACCAATACCCAACCAGTCACTAACGCAGTTGCGTAAGAACGTTATACCAGCGCGTTGAGACACATTGCAGCGAAACGGAAGACAAGATTGCTGAATCACAATATCTTCTATGGGTACTGAGCGCGAGTACCTGGCCTCTTAAACTATGCATATGCAAACGGCACAAGGGAGCAAATCCAACCGTTCCTAAATTTTGGTGAGCTCTCCTGTACGTGAAGAGTGTATCGGAAGTGGTCAGCCGCCCTCCTACTCCATCTGGAGTTGCACACAGGCCGGAGGCAACCACCAGGCGCCGAGTCATGTGGCCGAAAAAACTACTGCCACGACAGAAAACGGCTGGAGTCGTTTACCGGATCTGACGCAGTTGTGGACAAAGCAACTACGTTGAAGAAGCTGGGAGATTACTACGGACGCGGGTGGCTGAGCCCGCAGCAGCGGTAAGAATGAAGAAAGAAGCTAGCTCTCAGATTGCAACTCACTCGACGGAGCCCGGCCATATTTTGAAGTTTAACTAGGCCAACATTCTCGCAAGTGGTGACAACCGCGTGAGCCGCGAGCTGTTTGGGTCATGGTTCTCAGGCCCGCGGTACATCAGCGATCGCAACGACTTGCGGTTCCCATATTCCGTA